TTAGGCCCATCTGAAGAGCTTAGATTTTTTTTACGAACAGGATTTCGTTGGATTCGCGCCTTCACTGCTTTGATGATCGCGGGTGTCCTAACTGTACGAGATCGGCCGGTCCTCTTACGATCTTCAAAGCTTGAATCTTCAGTGAATCGTTTAATAGTGCGATAAACAAGGCCTAGGGTTATTTTCAATATTTGTAGAATATTGAAAATCTCTTTTTGCGCGTAACCACAGCGGTGCAACGCGATAACTGCTACTCTATCTTCTTTCTTCGACCACTCCATATTTGAAAATGAATGAAAATTAATGTCTTTTTTATTTTCGGCAAGTGCAAACGTTATATTTTTAAAATTGGTGAAGTTCATCTAGCCAGTATTCAAATTTTTTAAATAATAAGGTTTTGACAGAACTTATGACCCTACTAAGTACATATATATTATTACGCAATCAAAGGAACTTAATACAGGCGGCATTACTATTAATTATAATTCAATAGGTATTAGGTATATATTATGATTTTATAATAATCATAGTTAAACAAATACATTTAATGTTCAGTTCTAAGCTTAGGGTATAAATATAGCTTGCATATAAATCTCTAAGGTCCTAAGTTAATATAATAACGTGAATAATGTAATTGAAAATCTACAAAAAAGTATGCTTGTGATAAGTAATGTAATCAATCACTCACAATTATTGTTTTGGTAAGAACTAAAATACTCGTTCTTCGGTAGAATCACCTTATTCAGATAACATCGCTGTAACGAAATAAAAAAAAGTGTTACTTCAAACAATAGTTTTTAGAACCAGAGATGTCTTCGCCGTTGTTGTTGTATTGTCGCTATCGGACTATGAGAGAGGATAGAGAGTGCACCTGTGCTTGCATACACTCGGGCACTATAATCACAAAGTAAGGAATGTTTCATTACTCATGTGCTATAATCCTGTCGTACGCAGTTGAGACTGGCCGCCGTGACAGAAATTCGGTCTAGGGGACATTACGAGTCTTATTATTCCCAAATTCGGTTTCAACAGCGGCTTAAGCTGAAGTTTACAGCAAAAACAGAATAATCAGCTTGGGCTTCGGCTAAAAACTGACCTACAGTAGGACAATATATTCTTCAATCTATTTTCGTTTGATTTCTTATTGTTCATGTTAAATATAATTCGTGAAAAAATATAACAAATTGCGTTTCCATTGACATTAATTATATTATTTCACAAACAATATACGAAGGCAATGGACAACTACAATCTAAAATCATGAATTGCATCCTCTGGTTGTTCCCTAATATTCGCGGAGGCGTATTTATGTTTTCAGCAATACTCCAATATAGATAATAAAAGTAAAATGTGCGTTTAACTGAATATCTCTAAAAATCATAATTCCGTGTCCCTCGGACATGTTTGAAGCCTATGAAAATTTCGTGGACTATCTCCCGCCAGCGATATAGCTTTGTTTGAGTTCGGCACACAGCAGATAGGCTAGAGTGCAGTTGCTGTGTTATCTGCTAGATTGTTATCAGTCGGCTATCGGTGAGCGTGTCCAAACGGTCACTGAGAATCGATTGCGCAGCCAGTATCTGTGACTTACGGAAGTGATAAGGCAATTGCGTTTAAGTTATCGACTTTAACACTGACCGAGTTTAAGGGCCGTCATTGGGTATTAATTTATTTATGTAAGCTTTATTGCATTCCCATAAAAGAATACAAAGCGTGGACTTCATGCCATTCGGCGTTCTCTTTTTTGTCGATGAGTATTAATTGATTTTTTGATTAATTTGATATTAAATGTCATCAACAATCACAAACAGATTCATCTGAATCTGCTAATATCGCATTTACATTTTTTTTATTTTATAAAAAAAAAAACGTTCACAATCAAGCATGTACACTCCTGCATCTTGTAGTGGGACATTTGACGTATGGTAAAAACTAACTAATATTTTTCGGCGGCTCGCTGAAAATTTGTTTTATTTCATGTGTAGTATCGTGTAAATATAAAAAAATAATTATGTTTAATCCGTGACAATAACATTATTAATTAATTATTTTTCACTTGGAACAATTCACTGTTTCAGATCTAACAATACATGCATGACCATTAAACTGAGACGTGTCTTTTAGATTATATTAAAATAAACATTGTTGAAATAAACAAAACTGTTTTCAGATCAAGGTCGATATAAACAATTTAATGTGGAAAAATTGTACACCTCAAAAATTGTACATACGTGCGTGAACCAGGCGACACGTCAAGTTTTATTTTCTTAATTTTTGTACTCCCTTTGAGTCAAGTTAGAGGTTTTTGGATACATATATAAATATGTTAATTTTAAGCTGCTGTTAGCTTAACTTTATAATATGTTAATTATACGCTGGTGCTTGCTAAAAATCTATTTAACTCCAAGAGACCCACATTACATTCCGGAAACGCTAGCCCCTTCATAAAACATTACAAATGACAATTCAAAATCTATTTTAATATTTCTTGCACCTACTTTTTTCGCCTTATTTTATTTTTTACTGTACAAAGTATCTTAACAGCTCGCCTTAAATTATCATAGTGCCGGCTCCATTGAAATTGTTGATTTGGACAAGTGCTATGCGATGAAGGAAAACATAATCAGGCATTAAAAAGGTAGTATTTCAGAGACACGTAAAGTCTGGCAACAAGCATTGTATAAGCACGTCGGACTCTTCTTACCGGAAATAACCTAAAATCCTTTCATAATTACAGGAGGCTTGTGGTTAGTAGTTGAGCGTATATAGGCTGTCCCACCTGGTGATAAGTGGTGGAGTAGCCCTAGATGGTAAACCGCACTGTCGCCCACGCCCAGTATCGTGTGTAAGACGCCCAAATTGTATTCAGACGGAAAACGAAAACAGTCTTCGATGGCTATCCGAGTACAGAACCAGAGTATGAAACCTATACAATTACAGAGAGGTGTAAGACAGGATGACGTTATATCCCCGAAATTCTTCACCGCTGCTTTGGAAAATGTTTTAAGCTACTAAACTGGAAACCTTCCACCTTCGATTTACCGACGATATAGTCCTTATGGCAGAATCACTGGAGAACCAAAGCACTATGCCAAAGCCACGCAGAAGCTATATTATAGTTGTAGCACGAATAGGTCGGCTCGATCGGGGAGGAACCATGCTCTCACAGAGTACCGTAAAATAGCAGCTTAATGTAGCCGTGTTTCGTATGGTGAGTGTAGAGAACCGGATAACCTTTTTAATGGAAAGGAGACATTCTATCTTAGTCTTCAGGGATGACAACGCATCTGCATTTGCTCAATGACCTTAATACTGTCTCTCAAGGGATAGGTCTTAAGATGAACATGGACAAAAAAAAGGTCATGTTTAACATGAGCTGTGCCGGTAGTTGTTGGGAGCACTAAGCTCAAAGTTGGTGACGAGTATGTTTACCTGGGACAAATAGTCCGACTAGGTAAGTCAAACTTCGACCGAGAGGTCAATCGACGGTTCAGCTCGGCTGTTCAGGCATACCTACTTCAAAACTTCAAAACAAGATTGTACAACCTGTGCGTGTTGTCAACGATGACCTATGGATTTGAGACGTGGTCCTTCACTGCTGGCCGTATGAGAAAGCTCAAGGTCGCTCAGCGAGCTATGGAGAGGACTATGCCTCGTACCGGCAGGCGAAGTGTAGCGCGTTCCCTAGACGACCTATTAAGACATGCAGAAATCGATGGATGCTGGTGGCTCAGGACCGTAAATGATGATAAGAAACTAAATATTTAAAACTCACATTTTGAATTTTTTTCTAATTACTTCTGCTAAGCACTGGTGGGCATTAATAAATTAAAATTTCTTTGTCCTTGTTCACATCAATTGACGCATACGCGAATGCAAGTAGCATCTTATGAAGTTTTTCGGAACTTGAGCCGAGCAAACTGGATGTGTCCGTGATTTCATGTTAGCTAATCGCGGAAGACGATAGAACTGTGTGAAGGTTACGCATTATTACACACGCATGAGAAATGCGATTGTTATGCTGACTTTACGTTTGCTCGTTAAACTGCTGTAACTAAGCAATTTTAAAAACATTCAAGGTTAAACAAAAGAACGTAGGAAAATAATTTTGTACTGAATGACAAAAAGAAGTGGTAGGATCACTACTTATATAAATATATATATATATATTATATTTAAATTTTGTTATAAACTGTAAGAATTTATAACAAAATTTACAAATACACACGTATAAATAAAATTTAAGTGATTGTCTGTATTATCAAAATAAGCCTTGTAAAAAAATAAAAAAATAACTTTATATATATATATATATATATATATATATATATATATATACTAATATATCCACTGAACTAATCACGCAAGTCTAAATTGGCTTAAAACAATAACTATAAAGTGTGGCAGTTAGAGCCCTATTAAAATAAGTTCAAAAGTATGTCAGTATATTAAATGCCCGAATTTGTCTTTTTCACTCTGTATTGTAATTCGTTATAAAATAATTTGGTTTTTAGTGCATAAAAAATTCAAATAAAGGATTGGGCTGTCTAAAAATTGATTGAAGGGTTCGAGGATCGTTGCACTTCAGAGGTCATAGGGTAAGGTTATAGTAGACGCCGGTCGGGTGCAAGCAGCGGCGTCGTCGGCGACGCTGGGCGGGCGGTGCACTACCTGAGGGCGGGGGTGGAGGTGCGCGGGGCACACGTTGCAGATTCACTTTCGTCCGCCCGCGGCCGCTGCCACGCCAGTGAGAGAAAGTTGGCCGCGGCGAGCGAACGAGTCCCGCGAGTGGAGCGGCGCGCGCCGCACCGACCCGCAACACGCGTTTGAATTTGAAATAACAGCCGCGTCCCGCCATTCGCTTGCTATCCGCGTTTAGATTCCGAAATGTGCATTTAATAAGGAAATTGCTCTCATAAGTTGAATCGTGTGTGAATATTTTCCCGCGTTTTTACGAAGCGTCATAGCGAATCGTTGTCAAGACTTTAAGCGGTAGAACTATGCAGTGTTATGCGAAGTTATCGCCGAAACGCGAGCCACCGGAGGTGGTCTACGAAGCGGAGTTGATGAGCGCGCGGCGGCTGGAGTTGCCTGCTCCGCCAGGGAAGGAGTTCCGCGCGCCCATGCTGCTGCCGGCGCCGGCGTCGCACTCGGTTATCCAATGCATGCGGCCGCCGCCCCCACCGCCTCCAGTTCCGCGTCTTCATAAGCCTCCTTCCTTCGAAGAACCTTCCAGCTCCATTCCAGATTTAGGTCAGTCTAATGTAAATCAATTCTTTGGTATTGGTCTCATTTACATACATATAGACACTTTTTTAAATAAATACGTGTGGACATCACCTTTTTTCACAGTCCACCTAATGGTAAGCGTGGATGCTGTAGCTCATAGAAACCCACATCTATCTCCAACTAAGGGTCATAATGTGAATGCGTTGTCACCCCTGAGGACTGAGATGGAATACCTCGTTACCAGTAAAAAGGGTCTCCGGTCTACACTCCCCATTTGAAACACAGCAAATGCGGCAATTTCACGCTGGTATTCCGTGTAGATCCTTCCCCGCCGAGCCGACCCATTCTTGTTACAGCCATTACAATATAGCTGCGTGGTTCTACCACGTAAAAATATATCAGACGATATTATATTTAGATTTTACGAGTGGTAAAATTAAAAATGTTGTACAATCGACTTCAATATAAATTATTAACGATAACTCAACAACTACTGATCACACCTTGATCAAATTTATATTGGACCACATCAGATGCACCAGCTTTCAAATAATCATCAAAATCGTTTCACCCAGAAAAAAGTTATGAGGTAACACACATATAAAACATACGGTCGAATTGAGTACCTCCTCCTTTTAAAACTTCGGTTAAAAATGGGGGTAACTAATAAAAATATTAAAAAAAACATTATAAAACCCATCAAACATTACGTACATTGTTATTGCTAGGTAATTGGTGAAAAGCTACATGCATTAAAAATGATTTTATTTCAAAGCATATAATTAGACTTTAAATTTTCAGTAATCCGTTGCCAGAGCTTTAACCGTCACATAGACTATAATATTGAATCGCGTTCAGGCCTGTGAGATTTTGTTATTATTAAAAATGGGCTCACTCTTGACCTCCGTCAGGCCTGAGGGCAAAGATGAGGTCTACCATGGAGCGAGTTTACCCAGGAGGAGCCTGTTTACACTCATCTTGAAGAGGTTCAGGTTATATGCACTCAGAAAAACACGCCGGCAGGTCGTTCCACTCCTTGGCTGTGCGCATTGTGATTGATGATTTAAAGCACTTAGTGCAAATGTTAATTAAGAATATCAACCAAGTGTGGATAGTAACCTGCAGTACGTCTGGTATTCCGATAGGAGAAAGGAGATGGCGGTATGATCTTATGAAGCTCATGGCCACACCCTCCGAAGTATAATCTGTAGAAAACCGACAAACAAGCAACTTGGCGGCGGTGAGCTAAGCTGTGAAGCTTAGTTTCCACCAGCTTTATACATGGTAGAGCCATTCTGCGGCTATATTAATAGTATAGACGTAGCACGAATGGGTCGGCTCGACCGGGGAAGGATTACGCTCTCACAGAATACCAGCGTAAAATATAACAGCTCAATGCTGCTGTGTTTCGTATGGTGAGTGTAGAGAACCGGAGATCCTTTTTACTGGAAACGAGATATTCTATCTTAGTCCTCACGGCTGACAACGTATCTGCATTTTAATTCGCAAACGAAGATAGATGTAGATGTCTATGGGCCACAGTAACCACTTACCATCAGGTGGACTGTATGTTCGTTTGTCACCCTTATTCTAAAAAAATCTTTTTGTCACGGATAAGACTGGAACTAAAATTTGTCTAACATACCCTTACACGCTTATTACATTAAAGATTTACAATTATAACGAGATTATACCGTGTTGTGGCTGTGTAAGAATATCCACTACCCCATATCATACCGTGGGCGTCATAAGAGAGAAACAAATCATGAGATGGGCAGCAGCGTCTTAATAACGACAAAAAATTAAAAAACTGCGGTTGCCAACTCGCTTGCCAAGCGTGGCAACTATGGCAAATATGAGACAATCTAAGGGGGAGGCCTATGTTCAGCTGTGGATTTTAATAGGCTGTAACGGTAACTAATTTACGCATTCTTTATTTAGAATGCAACGTGATGTACTTCACGATGCGCTTACAATATTAATTTATATTACGGTGTGATGATTGAATACAATTTTACTTATCCTTGGCCGTCGTAGATTTATATTTCCTGCTTCGGAAAATTGTAACAGAGCGTGTACAGTTACAATGAAATTTCCGGGTGATGACGACGTTTGTTGAAGGTCACAATTATTAATCATTAATCAAAATAATATATCTATATTTGTCACAACTAGCAGTAATTATTAAATGTAAAGATATATTAATATTAAAAAAATTAGTTCGAGTATGTATTAAATTAAATATTAAATAATAATGTTTAATCAGCTCCTAAAAATCCACTGCTGAATAGTGTGTCTCCCTCCAGTCTCCAGTAGTGGTTTTGCCTTAAGGAGTAAGGACGGTTTGTACCCATACGGAGCGTCGGTGAACCTGTCAGTGAGAATTCACGCACACATTGCTGCACTATGTATGGGTGTATCCGCAGCGAGGCTCTGGTCGGTTTCTTTACTCATATGGTTACCACAGCGTAAAGAGTAATTTACTCATATGCTTACCACAGAGTAAGGAGTAATTTACTCATATGCTTACCACAGAGTAAGGAGTAATTTACTTATATGCTTACCACAGAGTAAGGAGTAATTTACTCATATGCTTACCACAGAGTAAGGAGTAATTTACTCATATACTTACCACAGAGTAAGGAGTAATTTACTCATATGCTTACCACAGAGTAAGGAGTAATTTACTTATATGCTTACCACAGAGTAAGGAGTAATTTACTCATATGCTTCCCACAGAGTAAGGAGTTATTGACGACCGCAATGCCGTATGTTTCACACCTTTGTCAAATCTATGTAAATAACACCAGAGTAAAAAAGCATTGATACTGTGTAATTATAAGTTATGTACAAATATGTTCACTGAATTATTTGCGAAATTTTATAAATTGACAAATTAAACGGAATATACCATTGCGTTACAGATTTATTACATGACTAGCTTTTTACCCGCGGCTTCGCTCGCGTGCGCTTGAATTTAGGAACATCATTAAATGCTGTTCCGTGCCAAATATAGAAAAATTCGATCACTTTTAGAGTCACCTCGGTGTCTATGTCTCTATGTCTGACAAAGATTTTTTTCATTCTAAAATACTATTAGACGTAGATGTTTGAAGCACAGACATGCTACAGAAACACGTGAATATATATGTCTAGAAACTCCTACTATTTTTTATATCGGGCGTGTAATAGTCCTGAAGTCAAAATGTATTATTATTTACATTTTACTCTTTACATTTATTTATAGTTAAAGTTAATTTAGTTTTAACAACGTATTATAATGTTTATTTGAGACATGTTATTCATATCATTGGTCCTATTTAATATTGATTGGCACCATAAAAAAGAGGTAGATATTTTTTTTAACTTCGAGTAGACTTGAAAATTTCATAAATACAGTTCTATAATAATGAATACTACACATGAATTAAAACTAATGTTACGGGTTTTTTTACACATCTTGGATGAAAGTTCCGAGTAAAAGAACATATCGTTGATGTGAAGCACCGAAGCTCCAGGAAGTCTAAAGTGTGTCAACATGTTTAGTATCGTCCCAACCATTATATCGGATCTGATAAAAAACAAATCCTTGGAATAGAACACCGAATCCTACCAATGATGATTCGCGAGGGTATTGAAATTAAAAATATCCTAATTTTAATAGGGAAGATGGTTGAGTGCTACCATCTGCCAAGGACCCCATAATTAATAAAATTAAATTCAAACTACTACTGCATTTATTCTATTCTATTTTAACTATGACATCAGGTCGTTAAACACCTCAGTTCTCCCGCCCCTTCCGTGATCATGGGTGCTGTAAAGTGTCCAAAACATCGGGAATTTAAAAAGTTAAAATCAAATGCGATAATATCCTTAAAATTAGTTTTATTCCTTATAAATATTATTCACAGTGCACGTGAGGATCACTACACTCATGAACGGGAGTAGAAAATGTTCGCCCTGTTGTGGCGCTGAAAGAAAATCCACCACCTCATATCGTACCGTCGTAAGAGGCGACATAGGAAAACAAACTGGAGATGGGATGGGCTGCATCATCTTCTTGACAACAGATCAAAATAATAATAGCTGCGGTTGCCAATCCGCATTTTAACTTTTACCCTCATCTTTGCAAGCCTTAATATTTATTGTAGAGTGAAAACTAAAAGCAACATACTCGAAAACACAAATAAAATAAAAACAGCATATATTGCCCCATGAAAAGTAAAAAAGTAGCACCTTACATGTTACTAATAATAGGCACAGGACACAGAGTTTTTAGCCAAAAAAGTGTTCGCTGCGCTGATTCCAACGCGGGATCAATGTAATGTTAATGATTCAATTATTTACATCGTATATTCAGTAGCATTGTATTATTTCATTTTATCAATGACTTGCCATTTTAGTTTATTTAGAAGTAAGTAGGTGGCGCTAATATTAGATGAAATAATGAAAGCCAAAAACATACCATCTAGTAATATAAGCAATAGAAGCGAACATTTATTTATTAAATCAATAAGGGATGAAGTGAAGTCAATTCTCTCAAAAGTTCTGTTTCTGTTAAAAAATACGCTATTAGCGCCCCTAGTGGTGAAAAGCAATTTAATGATATCGTCATATGACCATATTATAAAATAGAAACGTTGTGTTTAGTTATAACTATCTTCAAACGATTTCTATTCATTGATTTGGTCAAGCTATATCATGACATGGTCAACAAATAGTGTTAAATATCACGAAATGACCACACCATTTCACGAAACGATAGACTACTTTATGATATATGATCAATTCTACGATCTGGCCACGACATCCATAAAAATCTCTTGAATAAAACTATAATGATAATGAAAATTTTGCAAGAATTGCAAATTTCAACAGTGGTCACCGGAACCGGTGTCACGCGGCAGCTTTTGCTGTCGCACGGATGGGCAGGCTCGAACCGGGGTGGTACCACCATCTCACAGAAAACCAGCGTGAAGTAGAGGTTTACCTCTGCGTTTCGCTTGGTGAGTGCAGGTACCCGG